TTTCCAGTTTCATACAATACTGTGGCTGTTCAGTAGTTTCAGAAGTTTGGCTCGTTTATTAAATAAGCAAATGGAAAGGTTTGGTTAAAGCTGCTTATATTATTCAACGTAAGGAATAGGCTACTCGGTTGTCATCAGCATCAGGTTAGCCATTTTGGAAGGACAAAGGTAAGAGTGCCATCCACTGGCAGTTACTGTAATCAGCATAAGAACTGCTGAACTAACACAAAACACGACTCAGTGAATAAGATTCAAAACACCAAATGTAGTATATATAGTATATAGTCAGACACAAAGGTAAGCTAACATTATGTATTTAATTTTGTAAAATATTGGTACATTAATTACGCACGATTTACTAAGGCTTTGTTAGCATTCACTCAGCGTAACGTTAGCTTGCTTATCTTTGTCCGGATGATTGCGTCGTTGGAATTTGTCCTTTACCCACCTGTCTGTAAATTCGGCATAGGCCTCTAAAAATTTCAAGTTTTTGAAGTGCTGACAGGTGCTAACGCCAAACACTAGATCGACATCAGGGACTGTACCGTTAAAGGATGGCAAGCTGTCAAGATCTGTAAGGATCGATGTCATTGATTGAAGTATTTTACTCCTTTGTCTCTATTGAGAGCTTGTCTTTATGGGCCTTTGTCTTTTTTGCATACTTTACTTATTTCTGATGATGAATGACTGACAGATGGTAAGACCAGCAGCTACTGTAGCTATGGACACTTGTCCTTCCAAGATTTAGGTGCTGCCCAACAATGCTCCGTAATTCCCATTTCCTGTTATATATTTACTCAGGTGAAGTAGTGACACCAGTATAAAAATAGGATCTAAAATAAAACAATGGTAAATGATAATACTGCGGTGTTTACATGATGTCTAGCCTGGTTAAAGTGCTGTTTTGATATGTCTATGTTCATTCATTGCTGTTGACTTCCTGCACTCCGGTGTGTGCGTCTCTCTCTGCTTTGATCATAATGTTTTGGACCACAGCAGGTCTGTGTAATCGCAGCCTTAATCCCTGGCCTAGAATCACACACAGTAACAACTGAGCTGATAGAAAGCCTCCTCTCTGTTTCCCTGAAGGCTTTTCCGAAATCCATACATACATTGATTGTACAATCTACTCTTTTGGTTAAACAGGGAGCGGGATAAAGCCGTATCTTCTGGATGATACGTTCTGGGGGTGTGTGGGGGCACACATGCGGCCATGTGTTGAGTATGCCTGAATGAGATGGCAGTTATACAGTCAGGATATGGGAGAGGTGTGTGTGTGTATATGTGTGTGTAAGGCGAGTGCGGTGGGCAGCTAAACACAGGCACTCAAAGAATCTCTTTCTTCTCTTTTGAAGTGAGTTCAAATGCTCTTCAAAGACTGTCTGCCTGTATGACGGCGCAGGAGGAGGGGGCATGGAGAAAGAGCGGGTGACCATGTGCTCTAAACACAGCCTCAGTTGCCGCGGCTAGGATTACGCAAAGTTGTTGTCTGCTTCCAACTATGCATCTCTGCGTTCTTTGTATTAGCTGCATGTGTGTGTGCAGCCAAGCGCACACAAGATTTTAGTTGGCTGCACTCCCTACTATCCAACTGCTATGAGCCAGGGTCAGACAGATGTGTCAGCACAGTGATAGTATCGGCCTTTGGGACGGTTCCATATTTATGCCAATTACACACTCAGGTCCATCTTTCTAAAATAAAAGCATTCTAATACAGCAGCTCACAATAAGTCTCGTGGTCATGAAGGCTATAATGTTCAGTTTTTGTTGTAAGGAGGGGTTGATTTGACTTCATTGTAACTTTGGAAGCTATAGTCTGTGGTGCTGATGAAAAGCGTTATAAACAACATGAAAAAAAGGAGAGGTCAAAAGTTGAAAATGTTTAACTTTATGCAAAAGAGGGAGAAATTCTCTCAGAAGCTCTGCAGTGATTGACAACAAAGTGATGCAATGGAGAGTCAGGAAGTTTAGCCTCCACAGCTACTGTGTATGAATGTCTGTGGAAGAGAAGATCTTTATTTTATTCTCTTTGATCCCTCTTTTGCGCGTCCCCTGTCTCCAATATTACAGATAGGAACAAAAACAACTTGCCACTTCACACAAAATTAAAGGGACATTTCACACCAAAGTCAAAAAGTACTTATTCTTCCTCTTCCCTGAAGTGCTGTTTATCAATCTAGATTGTTTTGGTGTGAGTTGCAGAGTGTTGGAGATATCAACCATAGAGATGTCTGCCTTCTCTCCAATATAATGGAATTAGATGGCACTTAGCTTGTGGTGCTCCAAGTGCCAAAAACACATTTGAAAAACTCAACAGCAATGTCTCTCTCCAGAAATCATGACCGGGCTACATAAGATAATCCAGACCTTGTTGTGAGCAGTTTTATGTTGAAACTATTTTATTTCTGCTGAACTATAGCCGTCAATTATATCACTGTGCAGGCTAAGCTGTAACGTTAGCTAGCTCAGTGGTGTTAGACGAGCTAGCAGAGTCATGCTTCCCTCTGCGTGGTGATAAGTTTGGCGAGTGTAGTTTGATAGAGAGAAAATTGTTACTACAACAAACGGCTCAAAACAAGGTCTGTGGATTATCTTGTGTAACCAGGTCATGATTTCTGGAAAGAGACATTGCTGTTGAGTTTTTCAAATGCATTTTTTGCCACTTTGAGCACCACAAGCCGAGTGCCATCTAGTTCCATCATAATAGACGGTTGATATCTCCCACACTCAGCAACTCACATCTAAACAATCTAGATTAATAAACAGCACTACAGGTAGGAGGAAAAATGTCTTTTTGATTTTAGGGTGAACTGTCCTTTTTAAGAAAATTAAACCACAGGTTGCTTATTTACACAGTGTTTGCTAACTAGCATGCTACTTACTAGCAGCGAGTGAGAACGATGCATGACTCTTTTTTTTTTTGCTTCTTTTGGGTCCTCACCATTAGACTGCCATATTAAGTTTACATATTGCACTTGTTATTGGCTCATATTGAATTTTAGTATGTGTGGTGTGCCAGAAGTTGATAAAAGTGCAGTCATTACATATTTTTTCAATTACGGGGTACAGTGATGCTCTGTGATACATAAGATAAATATTTTTTAGATACTTTGGATTATGTCTTCTACCCTTGCAATCTGTATTTAAATGAGACCCATATGTGGGCCCTAGCACAGCCTGTTGACTTTTCTATCATCAGCTAATTCGATCACAATCCTGTTGTGGTTTTAATTCTGCTTGACTTCCTGCCTGTCTCTGTCCGTCCCCTTGCTCCCGACAGCCTCTCTCCCCTCCTTCCCGGCCCTTGTGAGTGTCTCCCTTAGAGCAGAAATTACATGCTGCTTTGTGCCTGGCGTAAACAATGTTTTCAACAGTGCAGGCCTGTCCTGTCTCTCTCTGTCTCTCCTTCGCTCTCTCTCTTTCTCTCTCCCATCGCCTCAGGGGACGAGTGGAGAGCGCATGGAGAGAGTTGGGATAAAGAGGGGGAGGTGAATTGATGAGAGAAAGAGAGAGAGGTATCAGTAGGATAAAGGGAGAGGAGGAGGAGGGTTGAAGAGAACAAGTGAAAAAGAGCAACAGTCTGTTCCCAGAGCAAAACGGCCCAACCAGTCTGTGTAATAAGCATAATAAGAGGGGGTGAAGGGCGACACCTCCCCACCACCAAACAGACAGACACGCACACACTGCCGTCTGGATAACTACTATTCAGTATAATGATAGTCAATGGGCTCTGATTAACTCTGCATTACCTGCATACCCTGAAGCCCCTGTCTTTGTCAGCACACTTCACTTAACTTGTGCCAACAGACACATGGCTGGAGGAAGGGAAAGCAGAGCCGAGTGCTATAAAAGCAGGTAGGTAGGTATGCAGACATGATGAGCAAATGCGCAGTCTGGATAAATCTTGTGTTCGATAGCCAGGGGTAGTGTTGGAAAGGATAGGTGGTAGTTTTTGGTGAGCAGCATGCCACACAAGCTTGTTATCTCCCTCACGGACAAACACACCATCTTTGTTCCTTTTCTTGCTCTTTATCTCTTCCTCTTTCCTTCGCTCCGTCTCCCTCAGTGTGTGAGGGTTGGCAGCCAGGGATCTAGAGGTTACATAAAGTGGATGTGGATCTGGGGAAGAAAGCAGAGAGATGTTACATAAAGAGCTGTAGCTGGACAAAGGTTAATAAAAATGGAGCCTTGTACTGTAGGCAGGAGCCATGGGAGAGAGAAAGCTTGAAAAAAAAAAAAAAACACAGAGAATGGCCATTACATAAACAGATAAAGATGGGGTGAATTATTGGTGGCTTTGCTTTGCTGTTACATAAAGAGATGGGTCCATCTAGCAGAATGAATGACAGAAAATGTTGTGTGTTTGTCAAAACCTGAATTTGAAAGAAGCAAAAAGACTTTTTTTTTCTTTTTTTCCCCTCCTTTTAGACTGATATAAATTAGTGAAGGTACCACTCACACCTAAGACAAACACAGCTCCTCACACACCCTTGTGGTCTTACAACCTACTACAATCCACATTTGGCATCGTGCATTGACCTCTGGCCTCTAAATTATTTGTTTATCCCTCCACACATCACTGCTGCTCCACAAGTCCGTCCACCCACCGCTTCTCATCTATCTGTTTTCTCCCCTCTCTTCGTCCTCTTCCTCCGGCCCCCCTCCCTTTACTGGGTCTGCTTTGTGCTAATGTCATACAACACTCTGTAATATCTATCATTAGAAGGGAGGGGGGGCAACATGAAAGACTCATGCTTATTAAAGTGTGTGCTTGAGTGTGCAGGCGCATCTGTCATAGTCTCATTGACTTCAGGAAGAAAATGATATTTGCAAATGAGGTGTGAATTTAAATTAAATGTTTAGGTGTTGTCAATAGGCCAGGGATTAGTATCTGGATTTCTTGGTGGTTAAGAAATGCAGTCAATTATTTAACCCTGATGTGTGTCTTTATTTGTATGTGTGAGCACAGTCTTAATATTTTGCTTTGTTCTCTTTTTCAGATACTACTACAACAAGAGGATCCTCCATAAGACCAAAGGCAAGAGGTTCACCTATAAATTCAACTTCAATAAACTTGTTTTGGTCAACTACCCCTTCATCGACATGGGCTCCACTGGTAAGCCTGGATGGTCTAGTGCTGTGTGTGTGCATGTCTGTGCATGTTCAGATATCTTCTAATCCCACAATAGGATAGCATGATTACATAGGATTACACAGGAAAACATAATATATTATTTCTCAGTATTTCCCCCCTCTTCTCTTTTTTTCTCCCTCCCTTGACGTCTCTAGGAAGCAGTGTGCCTCAGAGTGCGCCTCCTGTCCCCACCGGTGCAGGGACTCACTTTCGCTTTCCTCCTTCAACGCCCTCCGAAGTCCTCTCCCCAAACGAGGACCTGCGCAGCCCCGGTGGCATGTTCAGCTCTGTGGCCCGACGGATGGCGCGAGGCTCCGTCAGCGATTGCAGCGATGGCACCTCGGTCAATTCTGAGATTGAGGAGGGCAACACGGGAGCTGGGGAGGAGAGGGGAGAAAGGGGTGTGAGTGGAGGAGGAGGACCCGGTGGTGGAGGAGGAGGTTACCGGAGTATCATCCATCCCCGTCTATCTCATGAAACCCTGTTCCGCATGTATGGAGGGCCAGGTAACCCTGCTGGGCACCCAGGCTCCCGTGGTCACACAGGGCACCGGATCCACCCCGAGTCTCTGTCACCCTTCCCTGTGTCCCCTTTGCCAGGGCCGGGAGGAGCTGGCCTCCTGGCTCCTCCTTTGTCCCCAGCGCTCTCCATGACCCCAACATCTCACCTCCCCTACACCCCCTCACCCACCCTGTCACCCATGTTAGGCTCCCACTTCTCCTTCAACCCAGAGGACATGAAGCGCTACCTACAGGCCCACACCCAGTCGGTGTACAACTACGGCCTCAGCCCCAGAGCTTTCCTCCAGTACCCCAACATCGTCATCCCTCAGCCCCACCGGCCTGCCGCAGACAAGGCCGGTCTGACCGGAGAGAGGGGAGCAGCCGAGAGAGCAGAAAGAGCAGCGACGGCAGGGGGAGGAGAGAGGGGAGGAGAACGGCACCACCATCCACCTCTGGGTCACTCCGCCCACCACCACCCGCATCCGCCTCATTCTGCCCACCCTCACACCCATTCTCATCCCATGCATCACCCACTCCACCTGGGTGAGGAGCCTCCACACATGTCTCCCTTCAAGTTCAAGCTGCAGCCACCACCACTGGGAAGGAAGCAGAGGGAGAGTCAAAGCCAGAGTAAACCCAGGCAGAGCTCCCTGTCCTCAGGATCTGGGTCCATGTCGTCTACCTCTGGCCTGGGCTCCTCGCTGTCGTTCGGTAGTGACCTGAGCTCAGCCAGTGGCTCAGGCCTCCTCTCTGCTTCATCCTCAACGCAGTCCCTAAACAGCGCAGGACTTCCCAAGATAAAGGTGAGATACATGGACCCAAATATCCCCCATTATGGTCTAGGGAAATGTGTGACATGAATCACCATAAGATCTTAAATGTATATTTAATATACAATAATAACACCGGCAGACATTGTCTTAGAGCAAACTTGTTTTTATTAAAGCTATATTTTTAATCATTTATATTATTAAAATAGGCTTCAGTGGTGTTTACTGTTTCTTAAAACAATGCTGGACTAAAATGTCATAATTCATTGTCAGTGAGTTCCTCCATTTCCTGTTTTTGCCGCTGTGTTCATCATTGTCTCTGTTCCCATTTTTACATCTGCTCAGGTGGAGCCCATCTCTGATATCGAGTCAGAGGAAGAGGTGGAGGTCACTGACATAAGTGATGAGGACCCAGATGAGAGAGATGAGGAGTTTGATCTCTTCTCCTCACGCCACTCCAGAGCCCCTGACAGCCACCATCACCACCACCTTGCTAACGGCACAGCTGCGCCCCAGCATCAACCCCATCCTGACGAGGACCTGGACGAGGATGTCTTCAAAGCCCCTGCTCCGCCTCCACCTGGCCTGATGCCCTTCTTCACCTCGCAGCACACACACTCCAATGTGCATCGTATGCTGCCAACCCTCAAGAGTGAACCCACTGAACCAGGGGAAGGTAACACCCCTCCACCTCAGACGGGCTCAGTGGGAGCTCCCCAGACAAAGTGCATCCCCCTCAAGCTGCGCTTCAAGAGGCGCTGGAGCGAAGACCAGCGCATGGAGGCCTCGCAGGAGGAGTCGGACGACAAGAAAGTACGACCAGAGGAAGAGATGGAAAGAGAGAGGCAAAGTAATGGACGAATGGAGATGGAGGAGGACGGGACAGGCAGCGGAGAAGGGGACAGTCCTCCCCCGTTGGCGTACGAGGGCTCTTTAGCCACGCCATTGGCCTCACAGCGGAGGGTGAGCGCTGAGCTGCATCGTGCCACTGCCCAGCTGTCTCTGGAGAACAAAGACTGCTAATGAGAGACATAGCCCAAACACTACTGCTCTGGAAGCACTGGAGGTGGCACAGGAGTATGTAAATGTCCCCTCTGTAATCCCTTTCCCACACCGACAAACTAGATTCCTGAAACCTCCAGTGAACTGAGCGCTCAGTCCAACATACACGCATAGAAAACCAACACCTCAAAGACTTGTGTTCTGTCAGACCTCCCCCCCACCCCCCCACCCCACCCCACCACCACCAATCCTCTGTCTGGATCAGGGCTCCTCTGGGACACATCCTTTGGGAGGTGGGACTCACTCAGACTCAGCCATCCCAGGCACAGTGAGTGTAACAGGGCTGGAATCTGAGGGAGGCTCCCTCATGATGCTTGGCTCCAAGTTCCCCTCCCACCTGGCCAGTGAAGCTCCAGATGCCCTGCCCCAGTAGCACAGCTCCCGTCTTCAGGCCCCATCAGTAGGATCAGCAGCCAGTCAGCACTTTCCTCAGGGGACACACAATCCCTTAAAACCCAGCAACACACCTAGGATGAGGATGTGCACGCTCTCCCCTATGCTACTTTTCCTATAAGCTGACGGGACTTTGATAAGTGCCTGTATCTAAAAACCCACAGCCCTGGAGTGACATGGAAGAGAGCAAAGAAAGGAGAGGACTGAAGTAATCAATCTTTGACTCATGAAATCCTTGTTACGTTTGACAGATACTGAAAAATCATGGGGGGAAAAAGGAAACTGTCTCCAAGACTGAAGAGTGGGGCTGTTGGGTGTTGTCTGACTGACTCTTAAACCTGGCCCACTCCACTCAGGGAAGCCTAATGCTGTATGTTTATCGGATTCATACACACAAGCACACACAAGCAAAAAAAAAAACAAAACAGCCAACAGTGAAGGGGATTCACATTGGAAGCACTGCTTATGGACACTTAACAGTGTTCACCGCGACGCAAGACTCAACACACGTTCACATTTACACATCCACAGACTTTGACTCTGGCACACTGTTCTCTCAGAGCTATTGACTTTTGTATAACCTTCCTTCTGTCTCTCTCCTGTCCTGCCCCTCTTTCTCTTGTGGACCACCTGTGGAAAGATCACGACTCCACTCACAGAAATAATTTTAACCCCAGGGAGATGTGAGGAGAGGAAAAGAGAAAAATGAAGAAGTACTTCAGCGTAGAGAAAAGGACTGCTGAGGGGACCATGAGGAGAAGGCAGCAGGGGGAGGGGAAGGGTTTGAGGGGTTCCAGTAACCGTTAACTAGCCTTCTCACCTCACCTAACATGGCTTGTACACTGAAAATTGTTTCGCGGAAGTCCCAGCAGCACAGAATCCTAGTTCACCAGCTAAAGCTCCTCTAACAATCATAGATAGTGTTAAACTAAACCAGCAAAACACACACAAGCACACACACATGCACAACACTGCCTTTAGCTCTTAAACATGCTCCCTCTTGCTCTCTGTCTGGACCTCCAGCTCTGTAGTGGCGTCATCCTCAGATGGTGTGCGTGTGTGAGACTGCCAGGCCTGTTAACTACACGAGTGTGAGAGTCTGAGAGAGCAGAGAACATCTTAGACCTCACACACACACACACACACACACACACACAGACACTGCCTCTATGCCTTGTTTTTATAGCATGTACAAAAGTGCAAACTGAGCTCTGATAACACACATACAGACTATATCTTTATATATTCTAAATGAAATTATTAAAGAAAGTGAGATTTTAAAAGAGCGATAGCATTTTAATGATATGATTGATTCAGGATTTTTTTGTAAGTGGATTATTTTGAGCAGTAAGACATGTCATGCCGCTTACTAGGAAATGTGGTATGGAGGGTGGGGTGGGCAGACTGACGCGGGGTACGGGTCCGGGACCGGGTCAGGGTTTTTTTTCTTGTACATTTGTTTCATAGACAAAAGAGCCAGAGGAAAAACAGCACAGGCCAGTCCACCAGAACAAGACCAGCAAGAGGAAGGGAAAAAAAACAGGACTCGAACAGACTGCTAATGATTCAGATGTGTGGTTCACTCTGCTGTTCACTTCATTTGCAGTAGCTTGCCCTTTCAGCACACAGCACTCTGCTCTTTCCTGTCTGCACAGTCTCGCTCAGCACAGTAGGGTTCTCCCCGGCCCGAGCTGTGCTGGCCCCAGGCCACCTCTCCAGGCCCTCTTTGTGTGTGTGTGTGTGTGTGGGTGGGTGGGTGTGCTCAGAGTTAGCTCATGGGTTATAAAGTAGTAATCCTGTCTTTTCTCTTAGGCCAGTTAGCACAATGCTCCAAAGTACACAGCAGCTCTGGGTTGGGCAAAGGGGGAGAGAGCAGGGTTTAAGGGGTTAATCATTACTGTAAGACAGCCTGGAAACGTCGGACATGCGAGGCCCTGTCCTTAAAGGCCCTCTCCTCAAACTATGCACATTCACACATACACAAATAATTATACTTGTGATTATGTTTTAACATCCTGGAGCTTTTCGTCTTTGCGGCCAGGTCATCCAGGCGTCTGATTGGTTAACTGAGCCGTGTTGACCGGCGGCCTGTCCCCGCCTGACCAGCGACAAGACGGATCTATAGCAGCGAACTGTGAGATAGATGGCCTCCAGGCAGTCTGTGTAGCTGAGTTGATTGAATTTCCTCATCAGACCCCTGTGGTCTGGACTGGAGCATGTCACAACATGTACACACACACACACACACACACACACACACACACACACACACTCAACCCACCAAGTCCTGTGTCTGTATTTGAACTGACAGCTGCCTTATTACTACTTTTCATATCTCGGCAACAGATGAGGCATCAGTCTTGTCTGCTCTGCACCGTTCCTCTCTTCTTTCTGTTTCATTTTTCCTCACTGTGTTTCAGGCGTTGTCTGACTTCCTGCAAACTGCGGCGTGCTCTGACTCAGTCATGATGTTGCAGGGTATAAAGATTGATTGTAACGCAGGCTCTCTCACATCCTGTTTCAGGCCTCTACAGTCAAAGAACAGTAGACGAACAGCACAAACATTTCTCTATCAGAAGAGTAAAGGTTTTCTCAGTTTATTTTTCTGATGTCAATATTGCTATTGATTATTGTTGTTATTATTGTTCTCATTGGGTTATTTACCTCTCCACCTGGCATTATTATTATTCCATGGCTCTGTTAGCTGTTGCTTTTTAATGTTGTGTTACATCATTTTGGATGATGTGGAACCCCCCCAAACTCCATTCCCTGTTTTAAACCTTCAAGCCCCCAAACCAGAGACCTTTTTTCTTGTCTTTAGTTTTTACAAATGTAATATAACTAAAATGTGTAATATTAATTTTGATGCTGACAGAGAAATAACATCGGGGACTGAGAGGGAAGGGCAGCAGCAGCGGAGGATTTTATTTAGGGACAGAGGGGGAGTGATTTTATCTTTTTTTGTCATGTATTGTAATTTTTATTTTATAATGTTACTTTTTTCTCTTTGCCTCCGTATATTTTTTCATTTTTTGGGGTGGGTGGGAGGGGAGGGGGGGTTGTATCATTTTAAAAGAAGAAGAAAGATGTGTATTGTTTGACTGTGTAAAGGTCTATCTTCTCCCTCTTTCAGTCTCTCTTCTTTCGCCTCGTCTCCCCCGAGCAGTTACATAACACTCAGATGGAGAGATGAGAGTTAATACCATGATGTAACATTGAATTTCTCCACTTCTTTCGTGTTTTGTTTTTTGTTTTTTGTTTTTTTCAAACTTGTAATTAAGCTGTAATCAGGGTTAATTAAAACCGGTTGAAACCCAATATGAATATCACTGTGTTTGTTTGTGTCTGCTCTTCTTTCATACATCCATATTTATTAATGACACACAATCAGACAGTGGTGTTTTATTACTGGGTTAGTTGTAAACAAAGAGATTAACCCCCTGACTTTTGTCTCGTCAACAGCAAGTTGGCAGTCATATGAGGCCTTGTGGAATTTATATTCTTCAAAATTACAGTTAATTAAAAAAGAAGTCCTCACAGCTGTGCTTTCTGGAAGGCAACAGTTTAAGACTGCAATCATGTGGTGTAGAAATAATCAGAAAAATCAGTTTCCGACAGGGAAAATCCACATGAACACCCCCTGAAGTCAGAAAAACAACTCAGGAAGTAAAAGATATTGGCACATGTGTTCCGGAGTTGATGTCACATATGCAGAAACATGGCTGACTAAGGTACATGTTAAGTTCATGGTTAAAAAGTGTTCCACTTTCAGTTGCTGTCCACATAGTGTGACAATGTGAGTTCGAAAAGTTATTTGCCAGCACTAGTCAGGTAAAGCAATATTTTAGTAGTTACAGGGCAGGGATTCTCAACTAGCTTTGCCCAGGGGCCACTTTTGCAAAATTGAAGGAGGCTAGACGTCAGTTTAAAACTTTAACATTAGAAATATTATCAGTATATATAATAAATGCCCGTTTTCAACCTTTCGATGTTTGAACAATGGTGTTTCTAGGATTTAATGATATTCGGGGCCTGGCCTAAACCTCCTCTGGGCACTTTTTTAAAATAAGCCAATTGTATTTTGAGGCTTTTTTCCACACACTCTGGCACATTATTTAAATCCAGAGTAAAAAAAATCGCATTGTGAATCAAGTTATTTTCATTGGGAATTAGAAAATGGTTGGTAGGCCACTTGGCACCTGATCACAGGCCAGATTTGGCCCATGGGCCATAAATTGAGTACCACTGTTAAAAATTCAAACTGTTATCAACGTGTTGTTTAAATGCTCTGAGCAATAACATTCAACACATCTTATTTGTAACACATGTTGTTTCCACATTATGACTTTAAGACCATGAGCACACCAAAGCCGGAAGAACGACTTTCCAAGTTGGAAAAAGGGACCATCCGAGGAGCACTTGAACGCAGCATCATTTGTTGCCCGTGACCTTAACTTCCCGGAGTGTCCGCTGGTTGCCTGGCGACGATCTACAGCGAATACTCCAAACCGCAACTCCTCTTTAAAATGGTCGTTTTCTAATTCGTCTGTGTTTTTGGGGATTACAACCAAATACAAAGTTTTATTTTGTGAGCTTAAAGTGTGCTGGTGGGATGTTGTTAACATTTGACAGAGCCAGGCTAACGTTAGCTGTTTTCCCGGTTTCCACTCACAAGGCCATGCTAAGCTTACCGGCTGCTAGCTTGACCGTTAGCTTCCTATCCAACGACCAGGTAAGCTAGGAGGCCATTTTCTTTTTTAACTCCTCTAACGCCAAACTATTCTCTTATATGTAACGTTACCATGTACGTTTTTCAATTTAAAGATATTTTAGAAGCAAGTATGAGTATGAGTATGGAATGTGTGTTCAAACATGAGAACACACATTCCTGCATACAAATAATCTAAAAATATTTGTGTGAAGAGTGAAAAGAGCAAAAGATGTTTCAGTCCATTTAAATGGGTGTCTGTTACACTGGAGACATATTTCCGCCACTTTTTGAATGCTAAAAATTAAAAATGAAAGAAATGTAAGATAACAAATGAGAATGCTTTGTGAAATGTTTATTTACACAATGGGAAAACATACAATGCTTAGTCTAAATGTTGGTGAAACAAATGTGCACTGTCCAAAAAGTAATGTAAGCTTAAAAAAAATCCCCTAAAGACAGGCATGCACTGGTTTGTAACTAATTTCCTCACTGTTTCTTCTTGTCTTTGTTTTTTTTTTATTATTATTTTTTTTTGTATCTCACAATTTGCTTTATACAAAGATAGTCGTACAGTTATAGTGTTTGTGTATATGTACAAGGGTTTCAGTGGTATACTGGTTTTAAGGGATTGAAATTGACGATTAGCATTATCATACCGTGTACAATTGCTTATCTAACATATTGAAACAAAATGCAACTACACAGAGAATCTCAGCTTTATTTTAGTTAATTTTAAAAGGTGGATTTTACACAAACTCCCATTTAAAAAAAAAAGGTCTACAGAAGGGTTGCAGCGGTCATTGTCAACTTTATTTTATCATTTTATCATAAACTTTTATTCAAAAAATGGTTTCAAGTTTTAATTATAGTAAATGATTTGCTCAACCAAAAAATTAACCCTCTGGTTTCATTCCTTTAAGGGTCATTTTGACTTATAGTAAACCACAGTATTTTCTGAGTTATCATACTGTGAAAATCTCATACTGCTGCAGCCTACTATGAGCTATTAAAGTCCAGGGGTTTATAGATTAAATAAAATGAATTAATGTGTCATTGATGTGAAGAGGTGCTTCATGCACATTTAAGGATGTTACTTCCCCAAACAAAGGACAGAAGAGTGAATCAGGCCTACATGTGTGCTGACTCAGCTGGGACGACACTAAATGAGAAAAGCTGATTTACAGGATAAATATTTGAAAGCATTTTTTCTTCCTTATTTCAATCACTCATTTTTTTCAATTGTTAAAGAGCAAGGACATGTCTTGTATCTTGGACTTCATGATCCCTGATGGTTGTGTGGACGAGATGAGCGCACACACTCACTCGGGGCTGCCAGGATGCAGAAGCCTCTGAGGTCATATGTTTAGCAGTGATAAAGAAAAGCACTTTGTCTGCAGTGCTGCTGCCCACTCACCCACATAATGCTCACATAAGGCTCACCCATTTACCTTTTAACGTGACGTCAGTACTAGCTCCCTTGTCTTAAGCGCACTTACAGGCAAATGTTTGTAAGGGGAGGAGGAGGAGGAGGAAGATGAGCTGCTAGGGTAAAGAGTGGCTGGCCTTGAATAGCACTTATAGTGTTTTAATGTCATATGGGACAGGTTAGAAATAAAATGCAATTAAGAACATGAAACACCACAAAATGAAGGCTCAGTCTCATGACACACAAGTATACAGAGACATGCATACACAAATATAAGCAAAAGCAAAATACGTCTTACATTAAGACAAGAATCAACTTTTGTTCAGGGCTGTTGTGCAAAACACAGTTCATGTTTTTTTAAGGTTGAAGTTTTCTTCATATTTGTATCAATAGCAGTATCACATTTTTAAGAAATGTGATACTGCTTCACTGTTTGCTTGCTGACCATGATGTTTAATAGATAAACTTGATCTACTATCTGTGTTTTTAATAACTCCTCCTCTTCAAACTGTAATCACTTCCTAATATGACCACAGTGGAAGAGATCTGGTAGAAAACCCACTGTCCTCTGTTTATACAAAAATGCATTCAGGTGCACCTCAAAGTAATATGCAGCTTCAAAAGTATGAGTAAGATGAATCAAATGGATATCTTTCAAATTCAGCTTTTCTAATACAAACTTTCCGTTTTGTATCCCCAGACAGTATTTCCGCATTGAGCAGTGGTGGAGGGATTGTAACAGATAGAGGACATTTTGTGCTCAAAAGACTGTGAGTCACACCAATGTAAGCTCACTTCACGGCCTGTGTGGAGAGGAGGAATGATTACAGCAACCCATGACTTTTTCGACATTTGTATGGGCAGGTGAGTAACAAAATCTGAAACTATCTTTTAAAGCAATGATGCAATCAAGAGCCCCAAGCAGGAGGGTTGTTGGAGGGTCATGGTGATGATTGATGGGATAGGAGAGATGCTGCTGCTACACAAATTCTTTACGACTTCCCTCTAATCTTTGTTGACTTTCTCTGAGAAATATTAAGTTTTAGTTCCTTGGGCCTCTAACAGTTACTCCTGTGAAACCACATGAGGGTTAAGAGGGAAAATTACTCTGTAGACCAACTTCTCATAAGTCATAGACATATTCAGTTTATGAGGAGGGGTCACAAGCAGACTTCAATTTAAGGGTTCACTAGTGAAAAATGTTGGAGTCAGTGATTCAAAGGATTTACTGACACAGAGGCCTCTGTGCTCCCAATATGTCAGTGCGTGACATACGGCTCACGTAACCTGGTTTTCCCTTCTTTGACCTTGCTGAGGGTCACTGTATTTGTATCTGTGTGTGTGTGTGTGTGCATGTGTGTGTAGAGATTCCCAGCCCCCATCTGTTGACACACCAATCATCCGGGTGCTCCATTCACAGTGAAGGAGAGAGAAAGAGAGAAAGACCACAGGAACCACTGTGCTCTCTCACCTGTGCCACATCCCTCTCCCTTCGCTTCCTCTGAGCGCCTGCTTTCGCGGAAACCTGCGCAGAGCCGGTTCCGTGCTCCACATATAACCACAACCTGTGCATTATGCGCTGGCTGCACAGCAATCAGTCTTTGTGAATACACACACACACATAGACACACAGCTGTTGCATCCTCTGTGAGAGTTACGGTATAGTGACATACAGAGGCATGCTAGTAAGTTCACCACATCCTCCACCATACAGAGAAAAGCTGCACCGCACAAGAGTAAGGCACTTTCACAGCGATGGCACTTTATCACACCGAGCACAGACGAATGTGTGCGCACATTGATGTGGTTTGTTTGAAACTCTGATGCTTGTATTTCCTTTTTCTCCTTCATTCCCGCCAATCTTTCTCTTCGACCTATTTGAACTCAATAGAAATATCATATTAATTGTTCTCTCACACAGGGGACTGAAATGTCAGTGTCTGATCTGATGTGTGAAGAGTAAATAAGAATCCATGAACTTGGTCTAACTTGCCATTTTTATGTACCAAAACAAAAATGTTTTTTTTTTGCTTTATCTGCTTAGTCATTTCACACTGAATGTCTCCCCCTGTTGTTGTAATACTGCACAGCATATTACACAGCTTAAAGCTGATTTGAAATACTGTATTTCCTAGTACTATCAACTGTGTGGAGATGCATTTTATTCTTTTACTCAGTTGC